CCATAATAGAAGAACTAGAGGACACCAAATGAAATTAATGGGTAGCAGGTTTAAAACTAATAAAAGAAATTTCTTCACACAGCGTGTAGTCAACCTGTGGAACTCCTTGCCAGAGGAGGCTGTGAAGGCTAGGACTATAACAGAGTTTAAAGAGAAGCTAGATAATGTCATGGAGGTTAGGTCCATAAAAGGCTATTAGCCAGGGGATAGAAATGGTGTCCCTGGCCTCTGTTTGTCAGAGGCTGGAGAGGGATAGCAGGAGACAAATTGCTTGATCATTGTCTTCGGTCCACCCTCTCTGAGGCACCTGGTGTTGGCGACTGTCGGCAGACAGGCTACCGGGCTAGATGGACCTTTGGTCTGACCCAGTACGGCCATTCTTATGGTCTTATGTTATGTTCTTATGGGTCATGCATTGCAGTGGAATATCCAGGGATGGGGTCTCTCCAGGAGAGATAAACAACATGGAGGGGAGATGAGCATTATATAAAGGTTATAAATTAAGCTGTAAACATGCAAAGGACTTACTGGCCATGATAGTAGCGTTCTGGCTCAAGCTCACTGCAGTCCAGCTGAACGGGATGGGTGATTTATACCTGTGCTGAGCCTATCAGATACCCTGTAAAATACAGCAGGGGGAAACATGCTCACCTTGATGAAATATTTTGACTGGAAAGGCATTGCACCATGGAGCAGGGCAAGGGCAATGCCTCTGTATAATGCACCTGAATATGAAAATCCATCTGGACTCCTCTATGCCAAGATCATCAAGCAGAAGTAAATCACAGAAAACTACCTTGCCCTACAAGCCCCCCCAGGGAATTAAAAGTACAAACACTCCACATTTGTGTGGGTTATCAGGATCATCCCCCTCTGATCAATGTGTGTAGGTTGGGAGTGGGTATAGAAATTGGGATATTCCTCTCTGACTCTGAACAGGGAACAGTCAGAAATGTGAGGAAATAAGTGAAGCTTTGGAGTTTGGTTAAGTAGCCTCTCTGGAGAGAGGGACCTGGTAAGAGAATGCAAATACCTGAAGGGCAGGAATGAATTCCAAGCAAGGAGAGGGATTAGTAACACCAAATCCACACATTTCATAGCCTAAGCACTTTAGAGCTCTCTAATTAAAGCCCAGAGAGGGCTGATTATTTGGGGGTTACATACAGGGCACAATGAGAAAGAAAGGGACAAAAGGAAAATATAGGCTGAGTCCCAGGAAAAAAAATCTTCCTAGAGACTGACAGTTAGGAATAGATGGGTAAGAATGTGTTTTACACTGTAGTGGCTGTGCCCTGTGCTGGGACTTTCATGGTTTTTAATTTCTCCTGGCAGATTAATACTGAGGCTGTGAATAGAGGTCAGAAGAGATCAAGAGACAACATGGGGGAGGGAAGTTAAATGGGTTTGATGAGAATGCGAAGGGTGGGTTTCAACATCAACCAGAAAAGTGCTGAGTTCACTGTGAAGGGAGCCTGACCCAACATGCTGAAATCTCCTGCCTCACAGGAAAGTCTGACCTTGATTATCAGCTGGTGAACCATCAAAGCTGTGCCCCCCAAACCAGGTTAGTCTTCTCCCCACAGACCAAGTTGCACAAAAGACCTCTGTACGGAGTTCTTATCGGGCTCAGTGTGGGGAGGAGCTAGAAAGTCCTGTTGCTGAATATCCTGTACAGATTCTAGGAGCTGTCTGAGGTCCACATTGGGTTCATTAGGGGCTGGCTGGCAGGAGCAGCACTTTGCTGGGGAAGGTAATGAGGGAAGCACCTCAGCACAGCTCATGTTAAAAATAAACAAGTAAAAATAGCAGCCCACTTATATTTGAGATTCATTTGGGTCCCCATGCCATAGTGTCCCTGCTGGGGAAGAAAGACCCCAGCGCTCCCTGTCTCAGCCTCCTCATACTGGTGTGGGTATTTTAGTAGACAGTACTGCAGCCTGGCCATTTAGACTAGAGTTATCTGGGTTATGAGATCAGGAGTGGAAGGAATAGCCTCAGACACAGCAGACACCCAGGGCAGGCAGCAGCTTCAGAGGAACATGACCAAGGCAGCAGGTGAATCACGAAAAGAGCCAGCAGCAGAGCTAGGAAAAGCATGCAGGAGCCCTGCTCAGGCTAGAGGCAGGGGAAAGGCACTGCCCTCTGCAGTGAAGTGTGCTGGCCTTAGCTTTGCCCCATAAGATCTGGCAGGGGGAGGGGTATCAGGGACAGCCTGTCATTCACTTCCCTCACTCCTATTCTTAGATCTTTTCTTCTCCCGTTTCCTTTGTTTCAATCTTCAATGAACAGGAAGAAAAGGGAAGGAGCCTTGACAAATCCAATCAAGGTTCAGACAAGCCAGGCCATGCACTAATGAGGGAAGCAACAGAGGAGAATGGTAGCCCCAAGAAATGCTTGGTGCACAGAGGAAGAGGGATTCATGCCAAACAGGCTAAAGGAGTGTGTCCCCAGTCTGACAAAAAGAATTGCTCTGGGGTCCCTTCTGATCTAACCATTTGATTCCTCTATTCCTTTAATTCTCAAATGAAATAGCCCAGATCTCTCTGTCAATGTGTCCATCTGAGCTTGGAATGTACTGATCAAAGGCTCTCTGGAAACAAGAGGATTTGAGAAGGGGAATCTCTAAATGTGCAGAAAAGGGGCATCACTTTGTAACAGACGCACAGGAAGGATCCTTTGCTAACTCGGGTAGACAAAGAGGAGGAATGTTCTTCCTGGCAGGTACTATGGGAGGCTAACAGGAATCTCGGGACTGTCTCGTGCCCAGTGATGAGGAGTGGTGCCTAACAGTATGCGATTGGAGTAGTGTGTGCCATTGAACAGAGAGGGGGCCAACAATCCCAATGCCCGTTGCCAGTTTATCTTCTAGCCTAAATGTACTAGTCTGGGCATGAAGAGCCTGGAACAGCAGGAGACTGAGTTTCTTTAACATATCTGCAAGAGGAGCAAGAAAATCAACCTTTGGAGGATGCTGAGCTGACGGGCTATCAGGGACCCTGGCAGCAGCTGGCTCCTGCACTGCAGATCCGGTGGTAACACATTGGTTGAAGAGAAGCTTCCCCAGTTACAGGTTCATGGCTTCTGCAGGCAGAGAGCACAGGTTCCAGCTAGATGTGGAGTCAACCCATTTCACCACCTGAAAACCCAAAAGACAAGAACTCCTAGTCACTGAATTATGAGATTATAAAACAAAGGAGGAGTGGGAGAGAGATCAAGGGCCATATCCAAGAAGAGCCCCAGAGGTGAGAGGGGTGAGATACCTTAGTGTGAAGTCATCCTGAGAGGAGCCCTGAGGCACATGCTGCACTGTCACCAGCCCAGTCTCTATGAATCCCCTCAGGAGGACTGCTCACTTGAGTAAAGTCTCCAAATTTGGGCATTAGGCCACTACAGTAAATAGTCTCAGACCTTCAATTGAGTGCTGCCCACTAGGGCTCACGTACTGCACCTGGGCGAAGTGTTATCCCTTCAGGATCCTTTATCTCTCTTATCAAACCAATCTTTACCTAACTCTCAATTAGTCACCCACATTTGGTCTCCCAAGACTGCTGGTCTAAAGGTTGAGGCTGTAATGAGGCAGCATGGCCCTGTGTACAGAGCATTAAGGTGGAACCAGGACTCCTGGGTTCTGTTCTTTACTCTGCCACTGGCTCTATGAGCCCTTGAGAAAATCCCTTCTGTTATCAGTGCATCTGTTTCCCCATCCATAACATGGGAATGAGGAAAGTTCTCCCACCTCAGTGAAGTGCTTTGATCTCTATACAGTAACTGCGAAGTGTACTATGTCAAACTGGATGGACCAGAAACTTGGAGATACAAGAGTGTAATTCAGACAGCTGTTGCCTCTTGTGAGTTTTCCCTAGAGCAGGACTCCCTGGCTTCTCTTCATACAGTGTGTACATAAGGAATGGACAGAAAGAAAGTTGAACATTTGTTTAATCACTTCCTTGCCCAGTGAGCATCCCAAATTAACAACCTGAGCCTCAGTGACACACATGAGAAAGTGAGGAGTATCTATTAAAAACATTCCAATATTAAGCAGCAGTAGGGCAGAAGTAGATGGAGGGAGGAGTCATAACATTCTTGGGATGAAGCCAGCACTAGTTCCTTAATAGGTCTCCCATGTCCCCCAAGTTCTCATTCGACAGTACCTCCCCATCCCCCATGGCTCCTAAGTCACACACATTCATTTACTTAGTCCCAGAGACACACACTAGGACAGAAGAGAAAGTGAGCTGTCTCCTAAGTCACACACATTCATTTACTTAGTCCTAGAGACACACGCTAGGACAGAAGAGAAAATGAGCTGCCACATGTAAACCTCAGTTACATAGCAGCATGGATGGATAGACAGTGTGACATGAAAGATGGCATATCTCCTCTCCAAGCCACAGACTGTTGCCTACCCTAGCCTCTTTCTTGGGGACAAGTGCAGAGCTCTGACCTCCAGCTGTACTCTATGATTCCCAAGGGCAAACATCTCCTTTCAGGCTCCTTTACCCTCTGACATCTCACACTAGATTATCACAAAATGCATTCATACCAGGTTCCAAAATCAGGAGAACATATTTACTACAGGCAGTCCCCGACTTACGCGGATCCGACTTATGTCGGATCCGCAGTTACGAACGGGGCTTTTCTCGCCCCGGAGGACACGGACTGCGGGACCTCG